TCCCTACATCTTTGTCTTTATTTCTCAAGTTCTTGTAGGCCTGGTACAACAGACTCTCCCAGCACCCCTCCTCCTGTGGATGATGTTGACTGCTAATGGTTTATCTTTATTGTGCATCCACTGATTATATTTTCTACTTTCAGAGATTTACGTTTCAACCACATCAAGGAGATCAAGCCTGGAGCCTTCAGGAAACTGAAGAACCTTAACACGCTGTAAGTTCCACGCATCTTCCCCCGCTTCCGGTTGTTGTGTCATTACCGTTGTAAAAAAGGAAGGAATCTGAAAATGAAGCCTTCAAGGTTTTGTAGCCAAACTGCTGGTTCAGTACCAGTAGGACCCACCCTATTCCCTAGCTCCCTAGTTCAGGACTTTGATGTACAGAGGTAGAGTTTGAATTAGAGTGAGACTGCAGTAAGACTATCAGTTTAGTATGTACATTAGTACTAACCCCTATAAGAGCTTAAAGATGGCCTTGGTCTTTTTGGTTATTTCAGCCAAGTTGTGTATATCCACCTAAAGCTTTCTGCATAAAATTCCCTCCATTCTGCCCTGGATCATGTTTCTTACCATTTTCAATTAAACGTGCAATTTAATAACTTCCATTTTGGCAATTAAACTATCTTCTTTAAAAAATTTCCTGGTGCATACTGTTACTGCAGATATGGCTTTAGAGTAGCCTGTAAAAACAGTTCTGGCCTGCAGTCAAGAGAGCAGAGAGATGCATTAAAAGCCTCTTCCTTTCCATGGCCTCCCCAAATGCATCAGCCACATTAGTTATTCTACAGGATTTTTACTGAAGTGCTAGTGCATCGTCCCCAATGCCTTCTTGTCACTACGCCTTGCCCTAGGATAAATGTCTCCACCCACCCTAATGCAGATAGGAATGTGAATAGAACACAGTTCCTCTAGTGTTACACCCCAGCCGAAGCAGGTGCACTCACGTGCGTGTGATATGCTACCAGGCGCTTTACTAACAAGTTTCTCAGTCTGCTAGAAGGAAATAGTGGGAGCCTTTGCTTCTTCTTGCCCCTGGTAAGGCTGAGGTTATGAAGATAGGTTAGAATACGTCTGTGCCACGTAGCCAGGAAGCTGAAAACAAACCACCTCCCAAATCAGAAACGGAAGCTATGTCAGCACATCACTGTGCTGTATTTAATTGGCCTGACAAGGATCAGATCTGATGATTGTTCAAGCTGTAGCGTGGCACTAACAGAGTTGTAAGATTTCCGGGCTCAAGCAAGAATCTATCTGTTAGGCAAACCAGCTAGCCTGGGAATCTGCACTGCATGACAGACTTGTTCTTATTTCCTTGTTCTTACATTCTTGGTCCCAAATGGCAAGAAAGAGTCCAGATTTTCCTTTCTGACCTTGAGAGAACTGAAGTCTGTGATCCAGTAAAGATCAAGATGTTGAAAGGGTTATGGGAGGAAGACCTGAGCTATAAGAAGTTTAGTCAATTGTAAGAAGTTGTTGAAGGAGTAGCAGGACTACTCCTTCAACAGCAGGACTTCATCACAGAGACCTGCTTAACAGCTGTCTTTTAAAAATAAGCCTGCGCTGAAGATTGTTCTACTGTGTGTTGGGGGCTGATTGGCCAAACTATGTGGCTTAACTGCAAGTTTTTTAATGTGCACTCTTGTCTCTGGGTTCTTTATAGGAACAAGCTGGGTGAAAAGTAGGTATGTTTTAGGGCAGCTTTGGGTGGTGTTGTCAGTTTTCATGACTTTGTTAAAGCAGGGGCATCTGGAAGATGTAGATATTGCACAAGAACCTCTTTCATTAAAAAAAAATCTAGGAAAGATGTTAGCAGTTGTGACTATGGACAGAAGCTAGAAAATATGAAACAAACACATCTTACAGGCTTATGAGTAGCAGAGAAGTCTCGGTGTGAATACTCTCCTTTTTTCCTAAAAACTTGCCCTTTTTGTAGGTCTGACTCATTTTTGGATGCTGAAGCTGGACTGTGGTGTCTGTCTGTTAAAATGGGGAGATATGCAGACTCCCTGCTGCTCTTGATATTTGGCCTGCTAGGGCTTGTGGGAGATGGATGAGGCAGCCCGTTTTAGGAAACGGTTCAGTAATGCTCACAAACCTGGGGGAGCAAAATTGGAAGTGGGATTAGCAGAAGATGCAGCAGCTGGGGCAAGTTCAGCCCTATTAGTCTGGGCTGATGACTCAGTGAGAGAGGTCTGTATTGCAACAATTCACTCAGCTCTGCTCGTAAGCCAAGAGAAACTTTGAATAACAAGACTGAGTGTAGGTCATTCTCACTCTTCCTTTTGTTTAATCTTTGCTTGGCTTTAAAGTAAAACTGAAGCAGAATTCAGCCCTGGAAGTGCAGGGCGGATAGTGGGAACAAGCTTCATGGGTCAGCGAATGCAGTCTTTTGCAGTCATAGGGGATGGTGTACTGAGGGGTTCTTCTGCAGTGACTTTGAGAAGATGATTATGAATTGTGATTGCACTTTTTGTTGATGCTAAAGCTCATCCACGTTTATAGTCGCGTGGGGTAGTTGTAATACAGTTTTACAAACAGGTAATCAAACAGGCAACTCACCCATAAAATTTACCAGGAAGTTAACACGGGGAAGGCTTTATTGACAAAGATGCTGTTCGTCCAGAGCAACCCTTGTTAATCTCAAACGCCACCATGTTTGGAACTTAAATACCAAAAATCATAGAGAGAAAAGATCCAGAATATTAATCCTGATTGATTCCTGTCATTCGAGATAGACAGGATGAGAAAGGTGACTAAAACATCTAGAGAGAAAGTAGAGACAGAGTGCCGAGAATTTTACCTTATCATAAAGTTCTGCTAAGGCGTCGTGATATCTGGGCCTGCTCTTCCACCACTGAAGGTCTCTTGAGTCAAGAAAACAAATGATTCCAAATTATGTCATCTTTGTGTGATGCAGACAGATGTTTGGCAGGGAGCACGGCAGGACCGCTGAGCTCGTTTCAGCTGAACCCTAGGGAAACTAAGGAGGCTGGCAGGCCTTCATTTGGAGAGACGCTCCACCTAAGCTGTGGAGTTTTGTAAGATATCCCCCTTCCTGTCCTGTCAATGCTTAGGTCTAGACAGGTCTTTGACATATACAAGACTTCTGCTGTTTTTTTTTCTGGTCCCTGCCATTCTGCTTAAAGCTCCAGTAGATGTGCATACACACAGCTGAGGTGGAAAGACCTGTCTCCCTATTAGATCCATTTATGGACCTATTGTCCATGAATTTGTCCAAACCTCTTTGCTGTCTGCCTCTCCAAACTCCTGGACAGGGACCTCAGGGACAGCAGGTCCGTGAACAGATACGAAAGGTAAAGGGATAAACAGGGATGTACCTTCTAAAATCTCTTACCTTATGATTAGGAATGCCATGGGAGTCATAAGGGCACTGTTTGCACGGAGAGTAGCCAGGCTCTCGTGCTTTCCCTAAATGGCATGTCCTACTGCTGTCGTTAGAGCCAGAATACTGGGCTAGATGGACCGCTGCTCTGACAAAGTAGGACATTTTTATGTTTGAATGCTAAAAATCAAATGTTTTGTGAATGAAACCCTTCCATTTAGATAGTACTTCATATGCTCTCTTGTATTTCTTGGTTTGGCCAGCAAACTGAAAAATCAATTATTCTCACACTTGTAGACGTTAACTCCCACGTATGAGGAGCTTGATAACTGAATGAGAGAAAACCAGATCTTGCACTCCTCATGCAAGTTTCTTTCCAGGAACTAGTGGCTAGTCCAATTCGCACATCAAAACTGAAAAGAGCTGGAGAATTTGCTGGTGTTTGTTAGATGGTAAACTTTTGCCTGAGGATGTGTATAGGTTTTGAAGTGATAAAGAGAATAGATCATTAAAAATCCCTGAGAGACTTACTGGGGAAGTTTGGCCAGAATATTTGAACTGAGCAGTTCAGAGGACAGAATAGCTCGGGTTCTGTGCACAAGAGCTCTGAGCTTGCAGCTGTCTGCCATGAGACTTACAGAATTAAACGTGCCTTAAATAAATACTTAAAAAAGAGCCTTTTCCTACAATGCTTTAGGCTGGCAGAGGAAGGGCAGCGGATTCTGGTGAAGTTTGTTCTGCATCTCCACTCAGACAGGATGGCTGCAGTATATCCCTGTTTGACAGTTTATAAACCACCCTGATAAGGAAACGTTTGTACTCCGCATTGGAGGGAGAGTGAGGCAGAGAGGTGAGCTGTGAGCTTTCCTGGTAGAAAAGGAGCCTGCCGTGAATGTCCAGTGGGGCTTTTAAACAGCCTGAGTAAAGTTCGGCTCTTCCCCTGGCTCTCCTCTCTTCTTTTCTCTCCCTGGTACAGGAGATTTGATAAATTAGAGAGCACTTCTTTGAAATTAAAAACAGGAGTCCTGTTTGTCTGTGAAAGAGTTATGATCATTATATGCTTCTGGCTGGAGACTCCTGGCACAGCATCGCAGGCAATAAGCAATTATTCTAAATGCTCCGGCCCTGAGAACTTGCTTACCAGCTACCTGCAATGCTGTGTGCACCAGGGAAGTTCCCTTTGTCCAAAGGTCTCCTAGTGGTAAGGTTTCCTGGTCCCTCCCTGTTGCCTCTTCTCAGTCCCCATGCAGATGTTGGTGTCAGAATCCCCTCTGCATGTTTTTAAACTATTTCAGTGTCCCTTCATTAAGAATTAGCTTATCAGGGAGAGGGAGGGAAAAAAAATCTTGTATGCCATCCTCAAAACTCAGACAGCGCCTCAACAGTTGTTTTGCTGGAATTTGCCAAAGCCAGTCAGATCACTTAACCCAGCATTAGCTCACAGCAGCTGGTGTGCTGGGGAAGAGCGCAAACACATTGCAAGCCTTGGTGAGGCATAGCATCTCTTGGCTTTCCAAGCTTTTGCTCCTTTAGGTCATCTTTGGATGAAGATGGATGATTACTCCCCTGCATTACCATCCCCTTATATATTCCCACCGGAGGGTCAGCACCCTGCCATGTTGACCCAACTAGTCGATTCCTGTGTTTTCAAACCAAGGCTCTCACAGCCACAGCCAAATGTGTGCAACCTCTTTGGGTCTCTGCAGCATCATCTATGGAAAATTCCAGCCCTGAGACCAAAGCTGTGTTTCTTAACTTCCCCGGTAGGCTTTTTGCTCCCCTGCCTGGAGACTGAGTAAAGGTGTGTGCCTCTGTCCCTGCCTTTGCCCTCTGACCTGGGTCACATCACATTTCTCTTTCTGCCTTCTTTCATCCATCTGTTTTCATAAGACTTGCCTGTCCTTGTAAAGTGCTTTGAAAACTATTTAGGAAGCATTAGGTGAGAGCAAAAGGCACTTCTGGTGAGCTCTGTGGTTCTCCTTTAGATGCTACTTGTAAAGGATTTTGGGAGAAAGGCAGGAATAACGTGAAGGCTCTGTCTGGAATCCCATAGCAGTTCTTGACGAATGTATTCCTGCAAGCAAGGAGGGGAAGGTGCAGCCTGCTGTGTTTCACAACCAAAGTTATTCTCTCAATTATGGGAAATAGCAATTCCAGATTGTTTTGTCAACAAGAGAGAATGTATGGCTGAACATTAGACTAGCTTTTTCTCCCCCTTTAAATATGCTTCATGATGATTTCTACTAATGGTATGAAGGAAAAAATAGTTGTAACGTCACAATGATTGGAGCATGTGGTTTGTCAAGTGAAAAGAGGAAAGGCTACACGTTCTGAGTCTGAATTCCCTGCTGTCACATCATTTAATATGTTCAAAATAGAAAAACATCTCATTTAATGCAACTTAAGCCTCTGCTTGGTATCCGTGAGGCAGGGTGGGGAAGGAGAAGGGGGAGGCAGTCGAGACATAAAACCAAAAGGAAACTGAATTTGAAATGTTCTCTTACTGAATCTGGGCCAGATCTCGTGGTTCTTGTATAGCTCAAACCAAAACTCAAAATTCCCAGAAGAATTTTGCAGGAATAAAACTTACATGATTAAGTTCACCTACTCGTTTTGAGCCAAATTCACCAGCTGGCATGAAGAGGAACACCACACCGTTTTGCTATCTTTTGATAAGGTCAAAGAAATAAGCTTCTTATCCATTTTGATTTGTTTTGCTTCAAGGTGTCCTTAAGACATGCATAGGTAATGATCTTGCTAACGTCTCTCTGCCAGAGCATTTATTCCCAGCAGATCTGGTTAGCAGTAGATCTTATTTTTCAATCCCTTTTAGTATAAGTAGAAATTTGGGAGTTTTGCTATTGATTTCAGCTGGAATCTATATCAGTCTATGTGAGATCTTGCAAACCATAGCCAGGATTTTGCACACCTCTCTGCCTGGGTGAACTGCACTGGAGTGAAGGAGCAGACAGCTGTCCCAACGGCATCTAAAATCTTTCTAGGGTCCAGAAGTGCTGTCTTGGCTACTGATTCTCTGACAGCAGCTCTTTGATGGGTCTGCCCACCTTGCTCCATACAATGCAGTTTTTCTGCCACATACAAAACCTTTTTTTTTTTTTGGAAGGAAAGTCAAGGCTTATCTTTTCCATTTTCATTGCAGTTTCAAGCAATAATTCAATCTGTAACAAGCTGAAAATTCACAGGAAAGTTACTTCGTTACAGCTCTGTCTGGATCAGCTTTCTCTGCTCTGTGGAATATGACGGACATTATAAGTTATCTCACTTTTGAGCGTATTCCAGGATGTATCGCTCTATTACAGAGGGGAATCCTGAGAAAGGAAGTGGAGCTTGCTTCTTCCATACCTTTAATCAGCTTTTTAACCTTTAATCAGCAAGGAATGATTTTTTAAGTATCAGATGATGAGATAAGAGGCCTGCATGCTGCATGCCGTTTGAACTTCCACAGTTGGTCTTATTTGGCTTAAATCACTGATTACACTCCTCTTCAACTGTCCTAAATAGCTGATACAACAAAAGGGACAAGGTTAATGTTTTACAATAGCAGCAGAATTCAGCCAGACAATGTGTTTCAGTCTGAAATCCCCCTTGGATTTCAGTTCTGGTCTGAACTCAATGCATTAAAGATAGAGGGTGGGCAAAGTTTAGAACATTATCGTGCCTGTTCGCACGTCCGTGCCTCCAAGAGATACGATCCCCTGGTAGCTGTTGCAGACCGCTGTGGAACGAGGGGTTGTTGTGAACTGCGTTGCTAGAGGACAGGTGTTTGCTTCCACGGGAATGACATCGGAGCTGGCACTCGTTTATCAGACCATCTAGCCTTCTCAGAAGCAGGGCCAAGGATCAAATAATAGAGAACAAGCTGCCTTCTTTCTCTTCTGGCTCAAGATGAAAGTCCTCTGATAGATGGCAGGGAAGGAAGCTTGCGCGGCTGGTGCTTGTGTTGTCTTTGTCCTGTGGGCAAATAGACAAAATCCCTCTCCCACACTGCTTTCAAGCAGTTATTTCCAGCTCTTGAGTGTTTGATCATCAAATAAACTTTTGGGTTGGTTTTTCAGGGGCTGTACCTTCATTCAGCATATCTGGCTGCCAAAGCAAGATAAAATGTTCTAAGGCCTTGACATCATTTTTGCATCCTTATGAGTGAAATCAGATTATTTAGCCTCAGCCGTTATGTATTGAGCCATTGCTTCCAGCTGTGGAAAAACTTTCTGACATCTTTCTGCCTTTAACCTCTTCAGGCTCCTCACCCGCAACCCTAGCAATCTACAGGTTGGTAGTGGCACCCAACTCTAAGGCAGCAGGATCGTGAGATTCTTTTCAAGCCCTTATTGCTCTGATTTCCAATGGGTTTTTTTGCACTCCAGTTGCTTATGTGCTTTTTGGACCCTTAATTTAAAAAGCTGCCTAAGGACAAGCTGATGGAGGTTTATGCAGCTCAGGTGGCTGATGAAAACTTGTGAAGCTGCCATAACAGGTGTATGTTTCTGAGATCTTATTTCATCTTTTTATGCCTGAGGTGTTTGATTGTATTTTCATCTCTCTCTCTCTCTCTCTTCTTTTTCCCACACTTTTTCTTTTATTGCTCTCCACCTCTTCGTCTTTTTTCTTCATCTCTTACCCATGCAAACTGTTCTCAGAAAGTTAACTTTACTGGTGTTGCCAAAGGCTATGATATACCATTTATCCTTTTTTCTCCAGCAAAGGGTGCAGAAAATTGATGCTTACTGCTGGGAACGCTCTGAACTGTGTTCTCTCATGCTCTCAAGCGGCAGATGATTTCTGAGAAACACAGCTATCGCAAAAAGGGAAAGAGAATCAACTTATGAAGTAAGGAATGCCACATCCATGGACAGTAGGGAGAATTTAGAGCTTTTGTGTTGAATTTGACTCAATATCATAAGGTCTGACTGCTGAGTTTTTCCTACAACACCAGGAAAACAAATCTGCCCAATAGATGATCACAGTGTCCCTCTCCATTCACACCTCCATTTAAGAATTTAGAAAATAAGTATATCCTGCAAAATACTTACTCTGAGCCATTGGGCTATAAAATCCACCATCTCTGTGGCTGCAGTGAAGTTTACCAGATCTGAACATCAGTGGGACACCAGAGTGAAATACTCAGAGGGGTACAGTTAGGCATCAACAATGCATAGTTTAACATCGTGTATTAAAGAGCTATTTATAGGTGATTTGTTTAGTTTTCTTAGTGTTGAGCTTGGCCGTAGTTGAAGAAGAGATTGTTGTAGTGTTCAGATGTGTGGTTACTGGTACTGCACACAAAGTGCGGCTATTACAAAGGTGAACATGCATTTTTGGTCATTGGCACAGGGAGTCATTTGCATGCACAGTCATGGCAACTGCACACACAAGTCAGAGACTGCTTGCCAATGCAATGTGGTCCATAACTTTTACATTAAAATCTGGCACAGGGCTCTCTAGATTGAAAGAGGCTGTTTCTGAATAGCCTCAGGAGTCAGATTTGTATTATTTATTTTTGATTTGTACATGTTTGTATATAAACTTACTACATCACAGAACACTCTGTTATCATTTTATAATTCCTATAACATATGAAATAGCATTTTAAAATCATTTCTGCTCTTGAGAATTGGCTATGCATGCCCCTTCTTACACTTTATTGGTTAACACAACCATGCACTTTCAAAAGCAATTGCAGTTGTACAAAAATGGCAGCAATGTTTTAATTTGGTCCTCCCCTCCACTTCCTTCTACCCCTTTGTCTCCCTTTCCCTCGCCCCTTTCCTGGCCAAAACTGTAACTTTTGCATGAAAGTTACTATAGCGAAAGGTAAGGAAATGCCTTTGACCATTGTATGTATGGGAAGCTCTTGGCACCTCTAGACAAGAGACCTTTGCACTGACATAATAGCAGTTGTACCTATCGAAACTTTGATATAATAGTCCCTTCAAGGCTTAAACTCTGTGAAATGCGTGGATTAAGAATTTTTTTAGTGAGCATCCAGGAACACAAATGTCACAAGTTACAGGTGGGCTGAATTAACGTATTATATTTTTCCTTCTTGATTTGGAACAGGCTGCTGAACAATAATTTGATAAAACAAATTGTGAGAAGATCCTTTGAAGATCTGGAGAACTTGAAATACCTGTGAGTTGGCAGTTCAGTAGTTTTAAAACCTCTTTGAAACATAACAGCACGTTTTTAACCTTTGCCAGTCAAAAACATACTGTCTGCGCTCAGAATTTTTAAATGATAATGTCACAGCTATAAAGGATAGTCATTGAATCCAATTGGAAAGTTCTACTTTGGAATGAGGTTCATAGCTCTCTCCTGTGTTTTTTTTAAACAAAATTGCTGACCACTTATTCTAATGCTTTTTTTCTCTCCTTTTGAAAGCTACCTTTACAAAAATGAAATCCAGAGTATCCAGCAACACGCCTTCCATGGGCTTCGTTCTCTGGAACAACTGTAAGTACAAATGAGCATTGTTTGTTTCTTAGGATTGTGATGTGCTTCAGAGCATAAGAGCTGACTTAGCGGCTCAGATCGAAGGCTCATCTAACCCAGGTTCTGTTTCCAGCAGTGGAGAGTACCAGGTACTTAGCAAGGAGTAGGATAGGGCTTCTACTGTTTTCTCCTCCACCTTTGCAAGACTACACTGCCTTCATTTCAGGATGGCTGGTCCCAGTACTGATTTTGCTTAGTTAAAACTCAGGGATCTTCCTACTGAATCCCGCGTGCCCTCTCCTGACCTAACTCTCTGGAGTATAGGATGAGCCCAGCTGTGCTTGTGTTTCCCTGTAAGTCCAAGGACATGTTCCTTGTGCAGGGAGGGAAGTAAGGGCCTGTAGGATGGCTTGAAACAGAAGGCAGTTGGCCTGCTATGTCTGCATCTGCTATGCACTCCTGGAATGGAGCCTAGGATCTGGCCCTTTGCTTGAATTGAGAGCGCCAGCTCAATTTTCCTTTTATTCAAAACTTTGCTGAAAGTGAATGAATGCAGCACAAGCTGAAAGCTGAGAAGGTTGAGTATTTATGAAAACTATCAGGATGGTGATGTTCGTGTGCTTTAAAGCATTTGGAAATTCAGGCTGGAGGAAGATGACTGAGACAGCCAACAAAGTAATGACCTTCCTTCTAAGCTACATGGCACCCTGGTGGTGAAAGGAGCCTTGCATGTTTTGCAGGCAGCTGGATCCTGTAGCAATGACACTTTAGCATTCCTTAATTACTTCCCTTAATTACTACTTCTGCGTGTAGCAGATCTGTGTTGTTTGTTCAATCAAAGTAACTTTTTTTTTTTTTTTTGACTCTCAGCGCTCCATACTCAAGGTGAGATGGAGGAAAGACTCAAGGAAAGACTCAGGTCTAAATCTTCTAAAGTGTCTTGCTAACTGGGATTGGATTTTTCATGCAGTGGGTCATGATGTATATGTGCGTGTGTATGTATAGGGAGAAAGCGTGAGTGTGGATATTTGAAGTATAGGAATTATTTGCATGTATTGAAGAAGAAGGACCAAAGGTGAACCCTTTTTCAATGTATGTATCATCCCAAAGGCAGTGTTTATAGGAGTGGAATATAACTAGGGACTAGGGATATAACTTTTGTTGTGCAGGGAATAGAATCCAGCTTATTCTCCATTCTGACTGCAGTAAGTAGAGAGAGTTATAATGAAAAGCCTCAGGCAAGCTTAATAATAGGTATGCTACCAGCTTTGGGTAGAATATGTTTTGTCATCAGCTAGCTAAGCAAAGATACCTGGGAGAAAACATAAAAAGCGGATACTGGCCAGCTATGCTTAAAGAGGAGATGATGCTGGCCGCAGTTATATTTTAGCAGTGAACATACCAGACTTCATGTCATGAATAAAAAAAAACCCCACAAAAAACAACAAACAAACCTCTGAAACGTCCATCTGTTTTCAATCTCTCAGGCAGGCATGGTTCCAAAAGAATTAGGTTTGCTCAAATCCTACCCCATTTTCCTGTACCCCACAAGCCAGCTTTTCAAGAAAAAATATAAGCTGATTGATGGACAGTATCAGATGCTTTTCTCAAGGTCCAAAGTAATGACAGCAGACATCTGAGAGTTATTAGAGCAGACACATTTCCCTTTCCCCCACCACTAACCTCCACTACAGAATCTGAGTCACTGTGTCTTGGTTTATGTTGTGATAGTGAACCATTTATCAGGAATTGTTCCATTACAAATCAAACAGCCATGTGGTGGCTTATGCAATTAATTCTCAAAGCAGTCAGCTACAGTAGCAGAATGCGTTTTCTTAGGTCCGTGTTTAATCAGTGTCCACTATGAAATCCATGAGTGTGTAAAATTAGGCAGAAGAGTCTGGGCAACTTTGAAACCATACTGAAAGCCATCTAAAAGTCAGGAACATGTTAATCACGTCATTTAGTGTCACAGCTAATGGGAACATGATATCTCAAACGTTTTGATATGTGTTGCTGTGGAGACCCCAGGTTTCCATTACTAATGGTAACGAGTAACCTGAGGCAGTACGGAAGGTCACTTAGGCCTCTGTACTTCTGGAACAGCAGGTCACACTTGAGATTTTAGTGAACTAAAAACATCGACCTGCATTAGCAAGAACTGGGTTGTTCATGTTAACGTACAGTTTAGATCCTAGCGTTCCAGCTGCTTGCACCATCTCTGTCTTTTGGGACTGCATTTCCCCTCTACAGAAACAGAATAGCCCAATGACAGCCGTTTCTAGAAGTTCCTGCTCTTGCGTGAGGAGCATTTGCTGGGAGCCCCTGTTGAAATCATAGAAATACACAGGTTAGAAGAGACCTTTGGATATGTCCAGTCCAACCTGACCAATTTCAAAGTTTTATCAGGTTGTTCAGGGCCACCTTTTGCAAAGGAGTTCTCAGCAAACTCATGATTCCACTCGGAAATGTTACGATTCCTACTCTGGGAACAAGTGAGTTATAGTAAGGCTATTCCTTCCTTCCCGAGAGTCCAAAGATGCGTTGGGGAAGGCTGAGGCACTAGGAGAAAGGTAGGCAAAATTCCGTTATGTTAGTGAGATAGGGAACAAATGGTGTTGACTGAACAGCAATTTCTTCCTGAAATTTAACCGTGTAACAAGTAATTCATAGCGATGGTGGTGTTCTTAGGTTTGAGGAAAGAGCTTAGAAAATGTGTCCTCCTGCATATGGGTGTTACAGTTTATTAAAAGAAAGACTAAATAATGCAGAATAGGGAAAAGCCAGTGCAGGCTACTATTTTTGCACATGGGAATTGGAGACGCTGAAGAGAATGACAGCTTCTAAAAGTCTTCCCTGAGGTGTGTGATGACCAATTAGTGGACATTGGTGGACTGATCTGAAAGCACTTTCGTCTTTTAAATTGTGATCTACAACCCTGTCCCTTGTGATTTTCTGTGTGACAGTTACCTGCATTTCAACAGTCTGGAAACCCTGGAGCCAGAGACTTTTAGCGACCTGTCTAAACTTGAAAGGCTGTAAGTAAAGATGGGATCTTGCTTGTGAATAGTTATTGTCACCTACTGTTGGGGTGGGGGAGGGGGGGGAAGAGGGGAAAAAACCCTTAATTTTATGGGATGGTGATGTTTCTGTAGCTTTAATTCCAGAATCTTACTAGGGCTTTACCGACATGATGCCCTAAAAGGGGAGAATTGCAGAAAACAGTTTCTTTAAATGAGGAAATGTTATGTACTTGTGAATTAGATGGGTTATTGAGATTATGAAGGGAATTTCCCATGTTGTGTTACGTTCTTGTTTCCACACAAGTAGGGGTAAATCTACAGAAATCCCTATAGTTGGCCAAGCCATGCTAAAATACTGCAGTTTTACTCTAGCTTTAAGGTCAACATTAGTCACTGCTGGGCAGTGTATATGAAAAAAGGGGTGGAAATGGAACAAAGTCAGAAAAAAGCTAACAAGAAAAACATGCGTCCTTCTTGAAAGCATCTAGGAAAGTAATTCCTGTGTCTCTTGCTCCCCAGTATTGCTTGTAGTAATACTGCAGCCATGAGGAAAAATTTCAAGTGAAGGTTCCCGCCCTGCAATGAAACCAGCAAGCCCCTTCTGTGCAGCACAGAAACGTACCTTACATCCATATGTGCTGGGGAAAAAAAAAACTCATGAGATCCAAATACACCTAGGAAAATTCAGACCTGGATCAATATACAATGACTGATCTCAGTGTCTGTATTTAGTCTAACAATACTTTTGGATCTGAATTTCAGAGGAAGGGTTGTCAGGATCCTAGCTGGGCAGCTGGACTGAAGTTGAGTGTAGACACGTCTATGCATACGTTTGTACTCGAGCTGTTCTACTTTTCCATTTCCTACCTGTTCCATTGTTTACTAAAATTACTTCCCATCTTTCGTTAATGTTCTTTTATGAGTTTTAGGTGTAAGTGACATAGCTAAATTTCACCCTCCCTTAAGAAAATGGAGAGTTTATTCCCTCTTGCTCCTCACTGGTGCACTTCAGTACAATTAGATTTTTCCTAAGAACCAGGAGCCTTACCTGTGTGCTAAAACTCTGTAAGTGAGAATTTACCTTGGCTCTATTCAGAGGTAAGCCCAGGTTAGGAGGATGTTGTTTGAATTCGATTTACACGTGGATTTGAGTTAACAAGTACACCGAGTCTAGGGCATACATTGTCTAGCTTCTTCTGCTGGAGCCTTACTTTAATGGCTGCGCTTGTAAAATTTCCCTATCTTCTGTGGGGGGAAAAAAAGAAAAGGTCCCTTCTGCTGACCCAGGCACAGACAACGTAGGGTGGGTCCAGTCTATAGGGATTTCATGCCCTTTCTCCTCCCTTTGCAGAGCATGAAGCAGATTAAGTTCAAGGTTCCAGTTTAAATCTGTTACATCACACCTTGAGTCACCATTTCCAGTACACACCCACTTTCTGCTTTGGTGTACTGCATTGCACTCCCTTGCAAATGAATGAAATCCCTATAGCTCATAGAAACAAACACAGTAAGTTTGAAATCTGAGCTCCGTTTTGATGAGCAGCCTTTTTATTTAAACTGAGTTTTGACCTAGGATGTTATCATCTGTGTAATGTAAATAACGAATAATGCTTTGGCATGGGTTCTTCCATTACAGATTCTTGCACAACAACAAAATTTCTAGGATTCATCCAGGGACGTTCTCTCAACTGGAATCCCTCAAACGGCTGTAAGTAAAAAACATTGCCTGCAAAGAAAAGCTGTTTATCTTTGATCAGATGGCCAGGAGCTGAGGAGAAATCTGCCTGTTTGGCAAAGATTCTTGTTATTGCACTTCTAAGACCACTTTTAATTATATTAAATAGTTATGGTTGGATCTGAGAGCTGATTTAACCAGTCAGTAGTTTCTTCATGCAGGTGTCTAATTATAATCTAACTATAATCTTCCTACAGCTCAAAAATGCCACAGGAAATTTTTCCTGGAGAGTCTTCACAGCCCTCTGCTGTCCTACATGATTTGAGCCCATAAAACTTCATTAAAAATCTGGAAAATCCAGGTCACAGATATGACCCCAATCATGACTTCAGATCAATATGTTCATGTGAAACGAAAATCATAGTTGTAAAACAAAAGTCTTGTTTGTAGAGACCGAAAATACTCAAAAGGTTGCCAAGGTGCACAGTTCTTATCCAGTGAAGACATGCCCTGATATGTTATTCCCTCTTAACCTTAGTGTCTCTTAAGCTTACTTTTTACTTGCTTAAATCCTTCAGAGCTTGGTTTTGTTTGTCTTTTATAATCTCTGGAAATGAGTTCTATGACAAATTTTGGGAAAGAAGCAAAAACTGAAGAATGTTGGGGTTCTGCCATGACTTTAAATTACAAGAAAGCAACGTGTTTCTCCCTGCAGCCTTTTCCACTTTCTGCAAGCGGGAGCAATGCGTCATGTTTCTTTAATAGATAATAACTTGTGAAATTTTGTTGTGTGTGTCAGAGAGAAAAAGCAGGTTTAAAAATGCTGTATTATGGCACTGCATGAAATCTCCCATTCTCAACTGTTTGTCTATTAAAATATCAGGTCTATCTTTGGTAGTTTTTTTTTTTTTTTTAAGATGGCCGAGACGCATCTACAGCAAAGCTGTCAGTGGGGAAGGAGGCATAAACTAAGTTCTCTATAGTCTCTTTTATCCTTATGCATAGCACCGAACATAGTGATGAGGTCAATGGAGGGAAAAGCATGGGTGGACTAGGAGGTCACCGTTTTTCTCATTCGACATGGTTCAGGCATATGTTGCAGTAATAAAAAGTTCTTTCCAGTCATGCAGAAATGATATAACATCTAGCAATCCGATGCAGAAAAAGATTGATCCAAAGCTCACTAAAATCAATGAGGAGTCTTTTATTTTGGTGTACTCTTGTTAATGGCTTATGCCAGTGGAATATCACATTGCTGTTATTCACTACGTGTTCATTTGAACACATTAAATCTTGTGCTCTTTCTGTGGCTGGGAACAAAAAATAAAAATGTATGCCTGTCTTTGTGTTCCTACAAATAAAATGTGGATTTAAATTTTAGCACTTGGACCCTGAGCTACACAATTTTCTGGTTTCAGAACAGATGAAATATCTGTACGTCATGCAGTGAACTAAGAGTAAAAGAGCGCAAAAAGCTTCAACAGGAACAGCATTGTCTGCCATTCTTATGGAATTCAGTAAGCATTGAAATCTGCATCCTATGGAAAATTTCAATATTTCACAGTCTCTTTTTGCCCCAAATTAAGACCAATATTCGTAGTTCAGCTTAATAGAATAACTTGCATTTGAAACTGGAATAGCTGATAAATTATGTTAGTTTCTCAACAAAAAAAGTCCTGACCTGGTCAAGGATACTATTTAAACACTGTCAAAATGAAACATCTTGAATTTCCTCTTGGGACGTAATCGAAGGTAAGGAACAACAGCCAAGAGATGCCTCATTCTGAAGGGCCATTCCCCTGCGGTATACTAGGGGAGGCAGGAGGCAGAGGCGTTGGCAGGAAGCTGGGGAATGAAATGACTTTTCTTTGATCTCACAGGCGACTGGATTCCAATGCCCTGCTTTGCGATTGCGACTTGATGTGGCTGGCTGAACTACTGAGGTCATACGCAGAGCAAGGCAGTATCCAGACAGCTGCCACCTGCGAGGCTCCTAGGGAGCTGCATGGGCGCTCCATCGTTACCCTAACCGCTCAAGAGTTTAACTGTGGTGAGTGAGCCAAGTTAAAGCCCTCCGCCAGGCCATCCTCAGTCTGTGCATGTGTGCTGGAGAGCAGACTCTGGCCTAGGAGCTCTCCTGCCATCTCTCTCCCCTCGTCTTCCCCATCCTGTGATCCTGCTTTCTGTCTGCTTTGCCTGCTGAGATGAAGAAGTCCCAGTAAGGTCACAAGGGGTTGATCGGTATAAGGCAGAGAAAGTTGACAATCACACGGACGTCACGGAAAGGAGTTCTGTTTTGTCTGGCAGTTGTGATCTTAGTTTTTAGATGGGGTAGGTCAGTAAAGGATCTTTTAGAGGTCAGTGGCTGAAGCAGAAATCAGAAGTGTCCTTCAGGTGGAGCAGAAGACGAAAACTGGGAGACTTTCTGTTGCTGAAAACAACAAACCTAAGGAAACATATAGTAGATACATAGCTAAATGTTTTGTTTGGCAGTGGTAATAATATATTCCATTTGCTAATTTGTTATTCTTTAAATTCAGATAATTTCTCACTGAAAAATGCCACTTTGAAATTAAAGATTTTATTCTGAAAAATTCCAAGATGGAATATTTCATATAGAAAAAGATAAAACAGACTTTTGTGTCCTGGCATCAGCAGAAGAAGGTGCAAGCTTTGACTCTGGTTCCCTGATAATATTTCATTGTTGGAAGATTCATGTTAAGATATGTTCCCACACACCCTGGCCATATAGCACCCCACTTCGATATACCAATTCAACAGTGTGTGTGGCCACGCTGCAAGCCAGATATGTGAAATCAGCTGGATTTTGAAGAACTCTCCCAGAAATTCTGTTTTTCTTCTGTGATTTTGATTTTTTAATCTTGGCTGTTTCATCGCCCAGTTTAGAGGGCAGCTGTGCAAAAAGCAGAACTGCCCTGGAAAGGACAGTTAAGCTCCAGTGAGGAAGAAATGGAAGGGGAGGTATAGCGAGAGTCTGGAGAGAGCACCTGGGGACACAGGGACTGAGACTCACTTAACCTGGCTGCACTGCACAAGGGTTGTCCCTGACACATAGCCAGTGCCATGGTGCCTTAGCCATTAATACAAATTTGTTCTGGTTTAGGCACGGTGCACAGTGGGATGTCTGTCAAATTAGCCAGAGCACCTGGTGGGAAGATTTTGTTGGCATTAGGCTTTTCTGCTGGTATAATGCCAGCTGTAGGAAGACAAATGATACATAATTCAGCATTAAATTCTAATGATGCAGCCAGCTGATATCTGAATCAGTATGAAGCCTGCTGGCATAAAGTTAATCCAGCACTTTTTAACAGATGTGAGCCAGCAGAGCAGGTTTGTACTGGATCAGCATTTTTGATCACATGGCTGTGGTGGTTTTGCTCCACGACTGGAGTCCCAGAAGCCAATTGCCTGTCATTTATTTGTAGCCTAAGGAGTAAGAGCATGGGCCTTTCACTAGAAAAGTGTCAGGTTCTCACTTAATCTTATGAGTAATCCAGTTGGTTTTACTGGATTCCTGGTGAGCATCAAGTGTATGAGTAAGTATTCTGCTGAGTCAAGGTCAAGGGCTCCAGAGCACGTATTTCCCATTTTAGCACATCCTTTAGTTGTGTTTAACTTGCTTAGGACTTGAGTACATCTTAAAATGAAGCACGTAGTGAATTAGGGACATAATGAATAAAATTCAGTCAAAAGGGAAGTGTTGTAATTTGCACAGAGCTGACATTATATTCAGGTGAAACAGGCAGTTGCTGAGAGCAGCAGGCTGCCAGGGGCAGAAAAATAACCCGGCTAGAGATGCCCCTGACTTCTTTGCTTATACTTGGGGAGCCAGTGGTGTGGACTGTAGGCTTTATCTTTGTACTACCTGGAATGGGCTGTGTTAAAATGATCTTTTGCAGAGAGCCCTCGTATAACCTTAGAGCCCCGCGATGTCGACGTCCACTTGGGAAACACTGTTTATTTCACCTGCAGGGCAGAAGGCAACCCAAAGCCTGTGATTATATGGCTGCACAACAAGTAAGTCGCACACAATGAGCCCTGGGGTAGCAAAGGTTTCTACCAAGCATCAAGCTCTTCAGCTACTGCCTGTAATTACAAAAGCCATTTCACGCAACATAAAAAAATAGAAATGGATATTCCATGAATTGTATTTACCTTCCTTTTAATAGCATTCTCTGGTGACCATGTATTCCAAGTGGTGTTTTCATCTGCATTTGAAATGTTTCATCTGCATTTGTAATGGATTCCAAGAGCTTATAACTTTCCCAAAAAACATACTCTGCAGGCTGAAAGCAATTGTCTTTTGATAATAAGAAAAAAAAAATCAGTATTTCGTGTCACTCTGAGCCACCATGCTTGCCATTTATTAACTGCTGAAATGCTTCTCATCTCATCTCAAATGGGTCTTTTCTCACTGAAAGACTAGCATGCTGGGAGAGCACCTTTCTTTCAAAGGGAAAATTGCTGTGTTCGACTGAAAGACAGATATTGCAAAGCAGCATATAGATTAATGTTCTATACAGCAACACTGAAAAAATATATGGCTGTTCTAGATGCCAAAGTATTTCTGGGAAATGCTACACAGTAAAATATTCTGTGCTTGAGCAGTTGCCCATTATGGAAGTGAAGTTACTTAGCTGCTTTATGAGCTTCTTGTCTGTGGAAGGCTGAGTGGGGCCCAGATATTAATAAAAATGATCAATGTATGATTCCTCAGCTAACTCTCCGCTAGGCAAAGTTGCAGTACAGAGCAAAAGTTTATGGCTGAGTTAAGTCCCCTGGAAGGAAGGTTTTGTTAGGGAAACGCTGGCAGGCTCCCAATGATAGCATTGTAAGAGAGGTAATGATAATAAATGTTCCCCAAACTAGATATGACTACAATGAGGAGATACCAGGGAAATTAAACAAATGCCCAGCAAGCATATTAGTTTGCATAGTGGATTCAGCCTTTGTCCTAGGGGGAGAGAGGTTCCTTCTCTCTTTTCAATCATTCTCAGCCATCCAAAATTCTTTTGTGCTGGGACAAATGGTATCCCAATCCCCCAGCAATGGGACCTTCTGCCACGGGCTGGCTTCCAGGAGTTGCAGGTCATTGTAGAAAGAAAGAAGATATTTCACAGCTCTCAGATCTGGGAAAGGAATCCAGACTGTGTTGAGGTCCCATGGTGAATTGCTCAGAGCTCTTTACCCCCCTGAAGCCTTTGAGCCTTGTTCAAATAGAAATGGCTGCACACAATAACAATATTAATTCATTACTATATTTGCATTTAGTAAATAAGGAGAATAAACTTTCCAGGCCTAGATGTCCTGACAATAGCAACGAACTTTTGTACGGGAGCAGTCTTCCCTCCCAATGGGCTGTACATGTCATAAGTAGTCAGTGGTGAGACGGAGTGACGCACCCAGGGAGTAAATCATATTTGGAGCTTAATTTCAGCGCTCTAAATCATAACTCTTGCTGTAAATTTCATGGAGTCTCAGAACAGCTCCAAGGAACAGCAGCTTAGTACAATGCATGCGAGGCCTTCCCTCTCCCCTGATGTCTAGTGGGAAGAACACTAGTCTTTTCTCCTTCCAGGCTTAGCCTCCTTGTGGTTGTTTTTCAGTAACGAGATTGACATGAAAGATGACAACCGTCTTAACCTGTTGCAAGATGGAACCCTGATGATCCAGAACACCAAGGAGTCGGACAAGGGCATCTACCAGTGCATGGCCAAGAACATAGCTGGGGAGGTCAAGACGCAGGAAGTCGTTCTGCGCTATTTTGGCACCCCGTGTAAATGAGCTTTGCACACTCTTGAAGGCCCAGCTTGGGAGTGCTGAGGGCTGAAAATTGAGCTAGTCAGATTCAATCCCTGCTTTGTATGCGTCAAGCTGTTCTTGATACACTGGGGCAGAGTACGGCTAGCAGCACAGTGGTCTGAGCTGTAAGCTGGTTGTTCATGGGAGTGCGAAGTAGGAGATTTAGAGATGGGAGGTAATTTGGGACCGGGGAGGGAATTTGGAGATTGCAGAGAATTTTGCAGCACAGAAGTGTCAAGGGTGAAGGGAAAGCAGCGGTGGAGAATGTCAGCAGTCAGTGACAGAGAGGGGGAAACAGAGATGAAGGAAATAGTGCTGTGGGAATTATTCACGCTGAAGGTTCGGAGGTCAGGGAAGAGCCAGGTGAAGACTAGCTGGGCTGCATGAAGAGTCCAAGTGACTTCTGTCCATAACTAAGCAGACAGCAGGGCTTATGGTTTCTGAAGCACTCAATTTCCTTCCAGCCAAGCCCACTTTTGTGATCCAGCCGCAGAACACTGAAGTGCTGGTTGGGGAAAGCGTCACCTTGGAGTGTGGGGTCTCTGGGCACCCCCACCCTCGCATCAGCTGGACACTTGGCACAGGCTCTCCTTTACCACAGGATTCCCGTTTCGCTATCACCAGCTCAGGAGGGCTCTACATTCAGAACGTCACCTTCTCGGACCAGGGGCAGTACAACTGCAATGCCAGCAACACTGAGGGATCCATCCAGGCTACAGCAAAGATCATAGTGCAAGGTGAGGATTCCGTGGCTGACGTTATTTAGGGATTAAAGCACTCAATCAGCAGATGTGTATTTAAGCCATGCACATTGTGACCAGTTTTGTTCCCATGCACTAAGAATTGATTTAAGCTTGCTGTGCGATTTTTTTGCCTGCTGTGCAATTTTTTTGCCTACTGCTCTGTCATCGCTTTCCCCTTCAGATTCTCCCAGCTTTCTCCTCATCCCCACCGATCAGACAGTAACAGAGGGGCAAAGCGTGGATTTCCCGTGCTCTGCTGAGGGTCATCCTCCGCCTGTTATTGCCTGGACAAGGGCAGGTACTTCTTCCTTTGTCTTGGGTTTCCTTTCTCTTCCATGCCACCTTCTGTAGGGAGTGGGTAAGAACAGTTAAGCTACTGATCCAGGGCAATGAATTGCAGTGGTGACACATAACAGATGGCGAGTTAGTAGACACTGCAGCACAGACCTAGTCACGCTAGATGTCTTGGATCACCAAGGATAACATTAAATATCAGGGAAGGAAGGTACACTCTTAGGTCTCTGATAACTTAAGTCATCATATGGGAAGGAAGCAGTGTGCATTCTGTCATGCACATGAAGCCCCTAAAGCCTTGAACTTCGTCCTGCTGTGGCTTCTTACCTCATTCGAAAGGGCAAGGTCTGGACACTCCAGGTTGATGGGTATCACTGCATACCAGCTCTCCATCATTGTCATCGCTTTTGTCCTCTTGGGGACAGTGTTGCAGAAGAGCACCAGTTCACCACTGACACACCTCTGAGGTTTCTTTCTGCTTAGGAAAAAAACACTTTGGGCCAACAGGTGGTGGTGAACTTTGGAAGTCTTGAGTGGCTGTTAGCTCTGGCTCCACTGAGCTGATCCCATCCAACGCTTTCTGGGACAGAAGCCAATAATGCTTGGCCCAGAGGCCCTCCGACTTTTCCTCATGCTTCACAAGCCATAATTAATGGTTTAGTGCTGTGGAGAATTCATAGTTATTGTATTCCAGCTTCCACAGCAATAGCCCTGACACTGAGCTAAGAAAGACCAGCTGAAATTCTCCTTCACCAACACGTTCTCCATCTCCTTTAACCTGTTCCATTCCCCTGCCCGGATTTCAGAAGATACCTCTTAGAGAGAGATATTGAAAGGAGCACAGTGACAAGAACTAGGATTAATAAGACTGTTTTATAACCAGGCTTGGTAGGTCACTCAGCAATGCGAAGGTTAACTAAACTTTACAGTGTTTTAGTAGAAGACACGCTAAGAACAGGGCAAGAGGAAGAAAAATGATCGAACATAGCTCATTCTCAAAACTACTCTTGATGGTGTGCAAAGGATTCAGATTCCTTTTGGTATTAGAGATGACTAAATAGCAGACCCTTTGGTTTAGAGCAAAACTGAGTATTTTAAGAAAATTGTCAGTAAACCGACAAATGCAAAAACTGTGCTTTGGTTTGGTAAAATATTTAACAAGCTAAATATTTAACAGTATTTAACTCTACTTTTTTGACCAGGTGGGCCTTTGCCAAATGACCGGAGACATAGCATCCTCTCCACTGGAACCCTGCGGGTGATGAGGGTGGCTTTACATGACCAAGGTCAATATGAATGCCATGCTATCAGTGCCATCGGTGTAAGGAGCCTCCCAGTACAGCTGTCAGTGACCCCCCGAGGTAAGCAGGTGAAAGCTAGAGTTTGTGGGCAATGAAGGCTGGCAAATGGGTTTCATTAAGTTTATGTTAGCTAAGTAATGCATTGTCTGACAAGACAGGGAATTGCCCTAATTCCCCTGAGATGTGATTTTTGCTTTTGCCGCGGAGCATAAGTCTAGCCATAAAAGCTCCGGCAGTTGGTGGGAACCTTTAATGTTAGTTTTCCAGAGTGTCGAGATCTATAAATTGGAAGAAGCTGCTTCAGTTCTCGTTATGTGAAAATTTATGTTGTTGTCTAGAAAGTATATAGTTGTGGGGATGAAACTCCTCGTCTGCTGTGGTCAATAAAAGGGAGACTGTATCAGTCTGCATCTGCGAGAATAAACATTAGGGCAGGAGTTGTATAATCAGAAATGACCAGTTACTTTGACAAGTTACCACCTATCAGATGAGCAATGATATCTAACCAGCTGAGTGAAAAATGAAGATGTGGGCTTTTTAATGTGTTTGGAGGTTATTATTAAGAATAATGATTTTAGTAAAGAAAAGGAAACAGAGGATATTTGTTGGAGACTTGGGAGAAAGTTTAATTAATGACATTCTTGGTAATTTTTTTTTTATTTTTAATTTTGGGTTTCCTACCAGATGGATTGTGTATTTTTAAATTAAATATTCTGCAAAAAAGCAATTATTTACCAGCAAGGTTTACCTTTGGTTTAGATGTGTTTGTCTTAAACATCAGCTACCAGATTGTAGTTCACCCTAAATTCAGGTGTTCTTGAATCAAGCCTTCATAAAACACAATTCATGAAGAAATGCCTTCATGTTTTTATTTTCTTTTTTATTCCCATGTAAATAATCTTTCTCAGTAAGAAAACATGCCTGCTGTTTCACAAATATGCTAGCATTTTACCAATGGTGAACTGCAGAGAAGGAAACCAGCTAGAAACATGTGAAAGTAGTGATGGTTCAGATGAAGAATTCACAGATTGTTTTAAGACCGGGAGATCGATATGATCAGTTAGTTTGACCTGGCTAACACATGCCACAGAGCCCCTTACAGTAATTCCTGAATGAATTCACAATAGTTATTTCAGCTAGAGCATCTCTTCTAGAAAGTCTTTGACTTAAAGACTGTGACACGTTCCTATGTAATTGTCCCAAGTTGAGACACAAACAGTAGCCAAAAATAATGACTGTAAATTACGGAGGACTTTGCAGAGAGACAGAGAACATGGTTAAACTAACACCCCTTTACAGAGTTCTTGCAACAGCAGAAAATGCTCAGCAGCTCTACTTTCATAGGAGTAAGATGTTTCAAACACAAATGTGTCTGTTTTCCTCAATATATTTCTTGTGCTGGTGACTCTTTTTAATGTGTTGCAGTGGTACCTGTGTTTCTTCATCCCCCCCAAGATGTGGTGGCAGAGACAGGCCAGGATGTTGCGATTACCTGTGCAGCCCAAGGAGATCCACAACCCACCATAACCTGGATCAAAGTAAGAGACTATCTTGCTTGGCAGTCACCATGGGCCCTGCACAGCTCTCTAGCTAAACAGGTCTCTCAGCTCAGTCACTTTGTGCAGTAGACATGGGAGAAGTTGTGCTTGAAGCAATGTTGAGACCAACTTTTCCACTGACTGGGTTTTTAAATGGTTTAAAAGAATGTTTATTTTTCTCAAGCTTGAGGACGAGCAATACAGATTGCCTTTTTCCCTTGCTTTTCCTTCCAAACAGGTAACATCCTCCCGAACAACTGACCTTCCAGTATGTTATTCCCATTGTTTGACTAATCCTGGAAAATACTGAAAACAGATACTTTTTAAGTAGTGTTTCCTTATTGCCAGGTTTCCCGCTAGCAGAAATGGGATGTGATGCTTTTGTGTAATAGTTCTGGCTGGCTCCGGCTTTGGTGGGTCAAAGCCATGGTCAATCACAACCACACTGCGGTTTGGCTACTGTTTTAAAAAATTCGTTAGGTGGAGCTCTTCGGACTTTGCCCTGCTGTGCCTGTTGTGCCACAACACCTCTGACCTTCGCTGGGACCT